GGGCTCTGACTGGCGCTGAGGGAGCTTGTGGGCCGGACGACGCGGCCTCCGTTTCGGCCTACAGGGACAGCAGGCCGCCGCGCCCCTGCCCCGGCCCGGCGACCACCTCGCTGTCCGCCTGCAGCACCAGCAGCACCACGTCCAGGGCGCGGCGCCAGGCCTCCAGCTTGGGGCGCCCGGCGGGCTGCAGGGCTGGCGGGGTGCCCCGCCGCGCCTCAGCCCAGACCCGGCGTCCGAGACTTGAACCTCCTGCTACATTTTTGGAGATTTTTTGATAATGTTGATCAGTAAAAAATATTTTTGATCTAAATATAGGCTCTGCCGACCTGTTAGATTTTCAGAATTACCAGTGTCTGGTCTGGTTAGTTGACATTTTGTCTAGGCGAGAAAGATAAGATTTCAAACCGAATTTTGAACCAAAAACATTTATAATACAGTTCTGGTTTTTTATTACTTTTTATACTGTACCTTTAAAAGCTCGAGGCTGAAAGAGTTTATTTTGGTGGTCAGATTAATAAAATACGCTTCCACTCCTCTCGCTATTTTCAATGTTAGGAAGTGAAAAATGGGAGACACCTTAATGGCTTTATCCGGTAAACACTTTTGTAAAGGATGTTTATCTCAGCCAGTAGGCAAACACGTAGTGTGAAACAGGTCGGTCTTCATCGGGCGACCTAGCTGGTGAAGATACTCTTGTAAATGTGTTTTCTGATTGTAATTACTTTTTGCAAGTGTAGACCGCTCATCATTCCTTGTTAAGTATTCAGGATGCCTGCTTTTTCTTATGCATTTGTGGAAAGAATGGAAGATGTTTTAATATATTCTTTGTTAATCCGAGACCTTGTTACGGATTCCTTTTCTTCTGGGGCGGGGGCAGCCTGCGTTTTCAGTAGTATTACTGCTTCAGCATCGGCGGACTTCACCTTTAAAAACGGCTCTTGTGCGTCCGCCCTTTGCTCAAGATCCGCACCTCACCGGCGGACAGCGACGCTCTGGTGCGGGAGCGGCACGGCCGCGGCCTCTGTGGGGCCCCGAGGTGGCGTGGCCCTGGGTGGGGGTCGCTGCTCCCCACCACGCCCCCCGGTGCTGGGGAGGCCGGACAGGCAGGAGCAGGCTGTGCGCCCCTGGGGGCGAGGGAGGGAGGGGAGGCCCCTGGCCCGACAGCCTTCGCCCCTCGAGGTGGCGCGCCTCAGGAGTCGGCCTGGCGCTCGTCACGGGGCCTCGGAATTGCACTAATGTGGGGCTCTCCAGCCGAGGACCGAGTGCTGATGCTGGCTGCTGTTGGCAGCAGCTGTGCAAGTGTTCCGATTTAAGTAATGTAGCCTATTTTTTAATGAGTCCTTCAACACTGGCTTTTGTAAGGTTTAAAAATAGGTTTTTCCCTTGTGGCTTTAGCACTTTAAGAAGTTGGGTGTTTGTGGAGCCTGCTGAGGGTGTGGGCGAGCTCCCAGGGGGTGTCGGCCGGGCGCCCCTGGGGCAGCAGGCTTGTTCTGGGCGGGAGGAGATGACAGGTGTTGCGAAGTTTCCTGTCCGAGACGCTTGGGAACCAAAGTGTTAGACTATGAACCATTAAAGTGACTGAACCAGAGCGCTTCTGTCCTTTATCAGTGCCGGCAGGTTCTCCACGAAGCGATACTAATTTCGAAGGCGACACTGACATTAATCCAAGACTGTTTCTGATTTGTTGTTGATCGATGCCTATTGTTAAAAGAGAGACAAATGTGGTTTTATAACTGTATATTTCGTTGCCTTAGCAGAGTAAATCATTGTTCACTTATATTAGGAATAAGCTTTTTTGGACTGAAACTTCATAGTAAGGTAGGGTTTTTATGCAGTGTTAACCCCTTGCTTATTTGTACCCGATTCTACTGTCTGTTTACTTTGCTTAAATCTTGACCAAGAACCATTGGAGTCAATAAATCCGTACTGTATTTTGTTTTGCGTCACGACCTGGTGTGTTCTGCTCTTTGCCACGGAGGGTGCGCTGGGCACGGCCCGCTCCGGCCCTGCCCGTCAGGTGCGCAGCCCGAGGCGCTCCCACGGGCGGGCGCCGGCTCCTCTTTTCCTTCACTGCCCGAATCGGCCTTCGCACGCGCGGTGGGGGCCGCTGCTTAAGAAGGGGTCTCACCGCCCGCTCAACGTCAGCAGGACACCGCCCTCCGGCCCCTGGCCCGGTCCTTCCTGCGCAGCCGGCCACTGCGAAGGCGTCTGCTTACCCCTGTGTGTGCCCGTGTGAGCGCCGGTGTGTGCAAGTGTGCGTCTCCGCAGGTGCCGGGGCAGGTGTGTGCGCACCTGTGTGCGCACACGCGCACTTGGCTAAGTGGATGTCTTGGATGTTTGAGTCAGGTTTTATCTTTACAGCTGGAAAATTCCCAGCATTCCTGCGCACATCCTTACGTTCCCCCCTTTGCGCCTTTCGGGGACAGTTTGTGAGGCCGCTTGAAGCGGGCCCAGGGGCCGCATGCTCTTCACGCCTTTTCCCTCTCGCTTCATCTCCTAAGCGAAGCTTGTTCCCGCGGAGCCGCCTCTCCGGAAGCAGCCGAGCCGCCCTCGCGGTGAAGCCGGCGCCGCCCGCGTCCC